CCCCCCCCCCCTTCCAGGCCCCCCAGGCCCCCCAGGTTCCGGAAGTTTGTGGGAGGTTTTTAGGAGGTTCGAACGCGACCCCCCCCCCCGCTGATTGGTGCTGACACTGCTGTGCCCGTCGCCATCTCTCTATTTTGCAGGCCTTCGAGGACTTCATCAACACAGACTCCCGGTGCGCGTCGTACCTGGCGACGTACATCGATGACCTCCTCAAGTCGGGCCTGAGAGGGATGGCAGAGGACCAGGTGTGAAGAGAAAAGAGAGAGAGAGAGAGAGAGAGAGACTTGCTTTTTGTTCGATTCTGACGAGTTTTCTCGGGGATCTGACATATAGTTTCTCAGCAGCCCTTTTCTGATTGATCGATTTATTTTCTCGGAGGTGGGAGACAAACGCCGAAGAGTGAAAAATTCCTGTTTTTGTCGCCAACCTGTACGTATGATACCACTCCCCTTTTTCCTTCGGTATGCCACCCCCCGCAATTGGTTATTTTCATTGGAGGCTTGGAGAAACTAAACACACGCGAGTGGATTTTGCTATGTTTGGAGCCGAAAGAGCTTGTCAGCGTTGAGTTTTTTTTTTTTTTTGCCATTTGCTGCATGTCTCCACGTCCACCTCATCCCGCTCCATGTGACTCGCTTTTTTTTGTTGTTGTTGTCAAGGCGGAAGCGATGCTGGAGAAGGTGATCGTAATCTTCCGGTACTTGCAGGACAAGGACGTGTTCGAGAACTTCTACAAGACCCACCTCTCCAAGAGGCTGCTGGGCGGCAGGAGCGTCAGCGATGAGGTACGCTCGCTTCCGGTGGCGTCGTTTTAGACTGGTCGTGAAGGTCTTGCACCTCTTTTTTTTTGTGGGGTGCTGGCGGTGTTGGTGTTGGCGTTGGTTGTCGCTAGAGCTAGAGTAGGATGCAGTCAAGTTTGTCGAAGAACGGGAGATGGCAGACAAGGACGGGGGTAAGAGTGGGGCTCAACGCCCACAACGATACCGAACAACTATAATACACCAACTGTTTTTTTGTTTTTTTTTGTCGTCGTCGTGAAATCTGGTAACAATAATTGTAATTGAATTGGAGCAGATGGAGAAGAACATGATCGTCAAGCTGAAGAATGAGTGCGGCTACCAGTTCACGTCCAAGCTGGAGGGGATGTTCACAGATATGAAGATATCCAAGGTAAGCGTCACGTGATTGACAGGTCCTGGTATCTACTATTTAATATGCATACATAGCTTCAAGTATTGAACTTGGCATGTGATAAACAATGTGTGCCTGTTTCTGTTGGGCGGCGCGTGCTCGCCCGCTTGTGGGATTCTCATGTTCTTTTGTTTCTTTTTTCGTATCGCTGTATCTCCACGGATTTCGCAGACTGTTTTTTGTCTGCGCCAACGAACAGCAGTGCTTGTCTCCTAGCGTGACGTGATCGATCCCAACACACCTACAGCAGTAGTCCACACACCGTCGTCCATACCGTTTTTATTTTTCGTTTTTTTCCAGGACGTGATGGAAGAGTACCGCAAGACCGGGAGGCATACAAACCACGGGATGGAGCTCGTGGTAGAGATGCTCACCACGGGCTACTGGCCGGCCCAGAGCGGGCCCAAGTGCAGGCTGCCCAAGCAGGTGTTGCGGTGCTGCGAGGACTTCGAAGAGTTTTACCTCAAGAAGCACACGGTGAGCGAGACAAACATTTGGTTTCGGTGCTATGACAAGTGCACCTTATCCCCGAGGGACGCCCTAGGGAGACGGGGAAGCACGGGTGGTACGTGTTAGTTGCTTGCCCTACAGCAGTCATCTGAACACTCGTGTCGGTGTGTTGTCTGGGTGTAGAAGTGCACGGTGTGACTGTGGGAAGCAACATGCTTCTAGGAGACGGTTCTCATTTGGTGCTTTTGCCTACCACACTTGACGCCTCGCGTCGGTGTAATAATCTGTGTATCAAAGTACGCCGGATGTTTTTTGAACCAACGTGCTTCGAGAACATGGGTAGGCCGGGTGGTGCTATGTCCTTGCTTGCCTTACAAGTACAGCAGTCGTTTGACCACGCGTGTTGGTATAATATATTTTTACGAGTACACAACTGCATCCCTGAACGGAAGCACGCTTTTGAGGAGTTGGGCAAGAAAGTAAGCTTGCAGCACTCGTTTGACAAGGCGAGGAACCGTTCCTACATGTACGCAGGGGCGGAAGGTGACGTGGCACACTTCACAGGGGAACGCGGACCTCAAGTCGACGTTCGGGAAGAACAGGCACGACTTGAACGTCTCGACGCAACAGATGTGCATCCTGCTGCTGTTCAACAGCGCGGACACGCTGTCCTACGCCGACATCCAGGAGGCCACGCAGGTGACACTGAGCTGGTAGACGGGTCGGAGGGCAGGGCATGTGTCTATTGTGTTTTTCAATATTGGTGCTTTTGACACTGAGACGCACGACTCGAGGTCGCTTGTCCAAAGGAATGCGAACGGCGCTTGTTGGATTGGTTTCAGAGAAAAGTGCACGCTTCGATGCTGCTTCTGCTGCTTCTTGTTCTACTGCTGCCACGGCCATGGTTCGCTCTTGGTGATTTGTGGGACGGTTGGGGATGGATTGGTAACCTCTAATCGTGGTGTAAGAATTGGGGTGATTGCAGAGATTAGCCTTGTATCTCATGCTACGGTGCTGCTGCTGCTGCTGCTGCTGCTGCATGTGCTCTGCTCTGCATGGTGCGGTGGAATGGGGTGGTGTTTCCTTCACTTGTGCAGATCGGGGATCCGGAGTTGAAACGGCACTTGATCTCCCTCTGCACGCCGAAGTTCCGCATCCTGAGGAAGGCTAGCAAGGTGAAGGTGAGGGGAGGGGAGGGAAGGAGGACGCCGCGGACGAAAGTCTTGCGCTCTCATTGTGGCCGGAATGTGCCAGGCTTGATTGATCCGCCCTGTAGGTTTCCCACGAGGCCAAGCCTCCCCCCCCCTCCCTCTTTCTCTCTCTCTCTCTCTCGATTTGTTTCGCGCTGCATTCGGTTGTGTTGACGAGACCACCCCGCAAATCTCCGCGTTTTGCTCGACCTCTTCCTCGGTGACTTTAGGGCAAGGGCATCTCGGGCCCGGGAGACACGTTCAGCTTCAATGCCGACTTCACGTCCAAGCTGAAGCGCGTGAGGATACCATTGGTCAGCATCAAGGATTCAGCGTCAGGCCCGGCCGCGTCGGCCTCGCTGCCGCCAGCGGTAGAGGAGGACCGGAGGTAAAATAAGTCTTTTACGTCGTCTGTTGGTTGTGAGCGATTCTTGGGTGATCTCGTACCCTGTATGACCTCGGCCGGTACATACACCTAGAAGAAGAATTTCGAAAGGCACAAGGGATATCCCTTCAGGGTGGGCTCATGAGAGCACAACGGTGACGTCAACGGGTGATGCGACACGAAAGAAAGCAGGGAGCAGGATCGAACCCACAGCCGGCTTCCAGCTGCGGTGTGACGTTTCTCAAGCTCAAAGACTCACACAGCTGGCATAAGGATAAGCACACCCCCTGGACCTATTTCCGAACCTCGATTACGCAACTCCACGGCGAATGAGGACGTAGAAATCAAATTTTTGCGTTCGTTGTGCCTACTCGTTTCTTACACGGCTCTCCCCCCCTTCCCCCTTCGTGCACTCGCGCACGCGTACGGCTGACGACCATGAACATTTTCCACCGCTTAAAGGCATCTGACGGAGGCGGCGGTGGTACGCATCATGAAGGCGCGGAAGAGCCTAAGGCACAACGACCTGGTGGCCGAGGTGACCCGGCAGCTGTCGAGCCGCTTCGTGCCCTCCCCCACGGTGATCAAGTCGCGCATCGAGAGCCTCATCGACCGAGAGTACCTGGAGAGGGACAGAAACGACAGGCGAGAGATTTAGCTTTCGAGAGTCGCTTGGGTCTTGTGTGTATTTTTGTGTTTTTTTTTGCGCATGTTTCTTCGTATAGAGGGGGGGAAAAAGAACAACAAAACACAACACAGGTAAAGACAAAAATGAGAACTACGAACTTCTTTCCATGAGCTTTCGTGCGCGACGGCCTGTTTTTTCAATAGTACGGAGGACTCTTCTAAAACGTTTTGCATAGAATACTTCTGCGGCCTCCACATTCGTCAATTGCTTTGTGTTTTAGGGGAAGTCCTTGTTTTGTTGATGTTGGTGGTGGGTGTCGCTGATTGTGGCTCAAACTTGGATCGGGTCGTTAGACTTTATTCATGCGTTCGACTGATGGCGTGCGAAGTGTTTGGGAGTACTCTTCCGCCCATTCCCTTTCGCCTCCCCTCTGCACGCACGCAGCGGTACCCGCTGCCATTGTCTTTGCTCTTTTGCGTGCTGACTGGCCAATCGCTCGTGGTGTCACTTATGTTCATACGTGTTGTAACCTGCGTGCCCACCCCCTTTTCTTCGTATGCATTACGATTGTTCTCGACCCCGCCGAACAGACGTGCCTACAACTATTTGGCTTGACGGACAGCTGGGTTTTTGTGCACTGGGAGTGGAGGACACCCGACATGGGTACAATGGAGGGGAGAGCGGTGCCGCGCCCAGCATGGGGTTGTCAATCTTCGCTGGAGAAAAAGCCTCCGAGGGATTGGAGGGGACACCGGGTGGTTGGAGACAAGAGTAGAGTGGTTGTCGCGACAGCGAAGAACATACTAGATGCGGCGCAGGCAAAGGGCGGTGGGGCATGTAGGGCGTCCTTTCGTCGCAAAGGAGGCTGGGAGTGGAGATCGCGAGGGACGGAAGCGGAGGATTGTTATGCCCGTGGGGCTGCTGGTGGCTCTGCGTGCTAGGAAATGCACGAGCTCTTCCTGTCCCGCGCTCTATCGCCTCTTGGTTCTCTCCAGTGTCCCGGATTTGACGTGTCCCTGTCTGGTCTTCTGGTAGGGCAGTACAGGCGTTTCAAAACCATTCTCTTTGGCCCCCCAAATCCCCGCGCTCCCTTTTCTCGAACGTCCTTATGTTTTGGGGCGGGGGGGTTGTAGGTGGTTGGCACGTCGTTCGCCTCGTCATTCCGTTTGGATTTTTTTTGTTGTCTGCGCGATTACGACCTACGGGGTTTCTCATCCGCCCTTGCCGTCTGATAGCGCCATACGCGTTCGCGCGTAGTGTTTCGCCAGGGTGTTGCTGGAAGCAGCCGTTGCTGAGCGTTGTCGGTGGTATCTACGGTGTGCGTGCTGTGGTAAGACGGGAGTGTTTTGGAGTGGTGAGTGTCTCTTTCCCTCCATCTTTCCGATAGGGCTTTTCGATAGAGTCTCTGTCTGTTTGTCTGTCTGTCTGCCTGCCTCTCTCTCCCAATCTTGTCATGTCTTGTGTATTGTGTTTTTCGCATGGAGAATTGCCGCTTCGCACGGCAGTAGCAAGAGGAGGCGAAGACGTTACCCCCCCTACACACAAGGTTGGCCCACAACCTTTACCTTGCACGTACGTGAGATCGAGGGTCAAACAAAATCATCTCATTAGTGTTTCGTGTAGCGTTTCGTCGCGTCTGACTGCTTTGTCTAACGTCTGAGGCCCTGCTAGGGTAGTAGAATGTGAGGAGGCATACAAGAGGGAGGCGTTTTCCCGCAAAGGGGCGGGCTTAGCACGCAAACCAAGCGATAGGGTCGCTCTTGTGCCCCGGTTCCTGCACCTTAAATGCTCCTGCACCTTAAACGCACACGCAGAAATGTGTGGTGGTGCGGGGGTGTAACCTTGTGTAGCAGTCGTCAACCAAGCCGTCTGCTGTAGTGCGCGCATCATCTCCACTTGAAAAGAAAAAAGTCAAAGCAGATCGACCGTCCAGGCTAGAGGCTGCTTGTCCGTCTGTCGCCATCTTAGGTGCGCACCTGCGGTGGAGAGGAACTTGTAGAAGAAGCGTGTGACTGCAGTTGCGAGGTTTGCGTTTCTTTTTGATATCGACAGCGGTCTCCCCAACTGCGGGAGATGGGAGCACGGAGGGGGCGCTTTGTGCCCGTTGGGCGAGCGAGCGGTTACTTCCTGGAGAGGGTAGTTTGCATATTAGCCGCCGCACGCAGTGGTTGCACGCGAGAGAGCGAAAACGTTGATTGTGTCGTGACACACAATTCGATTGTGGATGCGCAAAAAGATGATGGTGCGATGATTGTTGTTGTTAAATAGCAGCTTCTGCTCCGTGTGCGATGGCCGCTGCGGGAGTGATGTCATCATTCAATCGTGATGCTGCCTGCACGTTGGGAAGATGATGGGTTGATTCGTTGTTTTCTTATGTCGAAACCGAGAGGAAAAAAATGTGCGTCGTTTGGTCAATGGTTCCGATTTCTCCCAAGACCACACCGGAATATTCATTTGAGTAGACTCTCCACTATCCAAGGGTGCTATTTTTAAGAGCTCTGTGCGACCGCGTCTGTCTCCACAAATCGATACGGAAAATGATCGCTGGACCCTGTTCATCATGCAAGCGTCGACGGAACCTACTATTCATCTATCTGTGTCCCCCCCAATATCGCACAATCAAGATTCCCGGAGGTGATGCGCTTACCTCTGCCACAAAATGAAGTACCACGATTCATTGTTGCAGTTTCCGAAACAGTCTAGGGAAGGCCGAAACCTCTATATTCAGAGTAGGATTGCCAAACTTATTTTTGTTTGTATTTTTTTCTTAATATGACACAACGAATCCATTGTCGGATGCTTGACACACAAATATATGAATGTGGATAGCCCCGAGAGGTCCCAATACGATGGTGATTTTGTTTTTAGTTTTTACTGTTATTTTGCCCTGCCGATGAATCTGTAGATATGTCCTGTTCAGGGGTGTGTACTGAACCGCAAGAGCCAGCTCGTTGGTGGCATCGAGGAATTCCCTCCCGCTGTTTAATACAAAGTCAAAACAAAACCTGGTTTTTGGCCGCAAAAGCGGAAAAACTTTTTTTGTTGTGACGTTTCGACCAAAAGCCTGACCACGCGCATACACCAAAAAGGGGGGTCAGGCGTCAGGCGCAGGGCTAACTGTCTTTTCACTCACTAGGCGGATTCATGTGTCTGCTGCATCATACTAGACTAGAAAGGAAGTTTTCCACAATAAATTGTCACCCACTTTGTTCTGGAGTAAATGTGTGCTGCAAAGGCACCCCCCTCTACACTACAAGAGAGAGCGAAGAGCGTTACAGCGAACGCTCCTGGTACACCCATTTTGCAAGGTACACTTCCTATCTATGTCGCGTGTGCGAGCAACTGCGTGCTTCGCAGCAGGCGGGAAGAGTAGTTACTCGGTTGACCAATGAGGACTGATTGTGATGGCACAGGAGTAACACCAAAGACAGCAATGACCGACAAATTAGAACTTGATACCCATCGAATAATCGAAAATGTGCTTGTATGCTACTTGGTTTTAGACTGCCAAATTTGACAGTCCCGAGGCGGGGGGCTAAGAAATGACGGAGCCCCCGGAAAGAAGTTTCATGTCTGCCGTGGAACGTCAGACCCGAGCAGCAGCGACGTCCTGGAGGAACCTGCCACACAAGATATCTGCTGGCACCTAATGCGCTTGGTGGCCGATTGATACAGGTAAGGGTAGTGACGCGGAGCACATCCAACGAGGTAACCTGCATATGTAAAGAGTAAGAGCTGCATGCTACTTGTATGGTGCTCTCTGCCGAGTTGCACCGCGTCATGCGGTCACCGAGTTATTGTTCAAGGGAGCGCCTTCTTCTCGGCTTCTCGGTGCCTGTGTACGTATAAATCAATTTATGCTGCTCTCTGTGCACACATGTGCTCGTCAACCTCTGCACGAGTATCGACGCACCGAGAGGTTTTAATCAATGTACTTTAAATAACGGCAGGGACGGAGGGTAGTAACGAGTCGGTGCACCACTTCAGCAACACTCACACTACTCTGTGCGGTGTGCACGTGATGGGAACGGACTATGTTGTCCAGGTCTTGTGGCAGGTTCAGGACACCGTTTCAGCAATACCAACGTTTTCGGCTTGGCCTGTGGGTTTATCTGTTCGTGGGTGAGGTGTGTGTCCATTTTCAAGTAGCCCTGGTGCTGGGATGTTCTCGTGCGAAATTCGAGAGAATTGCCGCGCATGTTCAAAAAATGGGCATGGGGTGGTTGCTGCTTGCTGCAGTGTAGTCGGTAGACCCCTCCTGGTAGCTGCACTTATTTCTAGAGCCTTTGAACGCGTGGCGTCTGCGATGCAGCCAGTCTGCCCAAAGTACTCAAAAACAAACAAACGGGAGTTTGACGTTGACGTTTTTCTTTTTTTCGACCACAACAGGCGTGGTCGGCTGACTCCCGCCCCCCGCTCTCTCTCTTTTTCGCCAAACCGGCGGTTTCGACAAGAACTGTCAGTCATAGGCAACGTTCTCCAACCCCCCCTTGCCCCCTCACCCCGCCAGGCGACCCTTGCGACATACTTCGTCGTGCCACATGGTGGGCGCCAGGAGAATGCAGCTGTTCTTCGTCATACGGGCGTGCGTTTTCCTGTCGATCCCGGGCTACTCCAGCTCCTACTTCACGCCGCCCGCCGCAGCAGCGCCGCGAGCCTCTGGACCGAGAGCGGGGCCACCCACGGGGCTGCCGCAAGCGTCGACGGCAGCAGCAGCAGCAGCAGTAGCACCGCTCGCCGCTGCCGACAGCGATGCGGAAGCGTTCGAGAGGGTGACCCTCGCCCGTCGCTCTACGAAGCACTTCGACCGACGACGACCGGTGCCGGACGACGTCTTGAAGAAGGTGATGCGCCTTGCTTGATCCTCCCGCCCGCCCTCCTACAGTAAGCCCCCAGACCCGGGGTACACTCGAACAAATACTCTCTCTAGGAAAATATGTACTCGCGGGCGTCCAATATTTACGGCAGTACCATACCCAGCTTTGGTATGGAAACAACGCCTGTTTGTGCTCGAGAGGGGTGTCGATCGCTGTGGGGTGGTTGAAAACTCTACTCCTCCCGTGGGAGTGCTCTCTTCTTGTGGTTTGCCTGCTTGGCATGATTCGGTGTCGCTACACCGCTGTGGCTACATTCAGCAAAATGTTTACAATACTTCTCTAGTTAATGCCGTGAGCCACAAGCTCAGCTCGATTTCCTTCATCTTGTCGACCGTGCCCTTTTTTGTCTGATGCTCTGCGTCTGTAGCTCGCTGAAGGTTGGAATGTACTTGTCAAGTTTTTGGCCTTAGCAGTGTGCTCCCTTCGCACAGGGTGTTACAAACTTTTTTCTTCATAGAAGGGTCTCTCGCCTTCATTTTTTTAGTGCCTTGTCTCCGCGCGCTTTGTTGTCTTTTCCCGGAAGGTGTTGGCACTAGTCTTGCGAGCCCCCTCCGGGTTCAACATCCAGCCGTACGAGTGCATCGTGGTGACTTCCGACGAGGCCAAGCACAAGCTCAGCAGGGCCATGTTAGGCCCGAACCGAGAGAGGTGAGGCGCCGATACACATCACCCTTCCTTGATGCCGAGCAAAATACGGGGGATGTCTCCCTCCGTAGGCCACAGAAATATTAATCAAGGCAATTCGAACGAAAACAATAAATGCGTATACAAGGGAAGCATGGAGGAGGTCTTTACGGCCGCGCAGAAGGGGGTCCAACAAACAATTCAGTCACGTTAAGCACGAACTGGGGGGCGGTACATGTACAGTGAACCAAAGGCTCCTTTCGACCGCCCTGCGACAACCATGAGAGGCACCGATATTTCATCCTTCACTTATGCCGGAACAGCAAGCAGCTCAGTCGTGTCATGAAGGTCCGGACAGAGAGAGGTGAGGCGCCTATGCGTTATCCTTCCCTGATGCCGAAGAGCAAGGAATTCAGCAACGTTTTATGCCAGATCGAGAGATCTTTTTCTGTTGCTGCACACGCAGCTTCCCTCGCGAAAAAGCAAAATTCTGAACACACGCGAACCCCTCTCACGCTTGCCTTCTTGCCTTCTCTCCCACGCTTTTCTTTTTTTGTCACTGCCTTTTTTTTTTTTTCGTCGCCTGCAGTCTCAATCGTACCCGCATCCTACCATCTTGTCTTTCGCGGTTTGTGCCACACGGTGAACAAAGCAGGGTTTAGATGGGTGCCCACGTTTTAACGGATACACAAGCAAGGTTAATACCTGCCCCCGCTGCGCTTGGCCGCCACCTATGCACCCCTCAGCGTTTTTCTCCACTTTCCCTCTCGAAACCCCGTGTGGTTTACTTGCGCAGTATCGCTTGGTGTTCGATACAGCACACGAGGGCACCATTTTGGCTCTGCTTTTTCATTTTCACGTCTATTTTTTGCGCCACCGGCCGTCGTTGGTGAAAACACAAACTTTCACAAACCAGCGGCCGTGCCAACGAAAACGCGCCACCCGCACAGGCCCGCAGGGAATTGCTTAACCAGCCGACGGTTGTGTGCTCGAACGGACGCGAGTAGCTTGTCAGGCGAGACAACGGGTACCGATTTATTTTTGGCGTGTTTTTTTGTTCTTCACCACCAGCACCCGGCGTTTAACAACGCACAGATAGACTATTAGACGCGTTTTCGTGAGACAACAAAGCCTTGTTCGCTGTGGCTTCATTGCTCTCTTCCCCGGACTCGACGTAGATGGAGCTCGCACGAGTGGACATGTGACCTGATTAGTGGTCTAGGCGGCCCACCGGATGAACGTCTCTGGTCGCGTGTTGCTCCTCTCGTTGTGGCAGGGTGCTGGCAGCCGGAGCTACGGTGGTCTTCGCGAGTGACTTGAACAGCATGAAGAACGTTCGCAAGTTGACGTGAGTGTTGCGTGTTTCAAATACACGATGTCGCTAGTCGAGCGCGAGACTCCCCCGTACCTGGGGGGAGTCTGCAACAACCTGAGATTCTTGCCGCCATTGTTTTTGGCTGTGAGGCCGTTGTGGGGGTATCGCCCATGTTATTCATATGGCGTTTATCGGTTGCGTTCGCATTGGCCAGCTGCTGCAAAATTGTCGTTTTTATTCTCGGGATAACTCTTGGAAGTGGAAGCTGACAAATTGGCGTAAAGAGTTTTCTACGCGTATGCACAGTTTCGGCTCTCCTGGCAGAACGTCGTGTTCCCAAGTACATGCCCACATCACACTTGCTCCCCCACAGGGTGGTGATGCTGCCGACGAAGACGCAATGACTGCTTGGGGCAACCCAGCGAATAGAGCGCTCCAGTACCCAGCATGAGCAGCGTTATCAACGTCCCCTTCCCCCCGTAACGCCTCCTTGCTCTCTCTTCTCTCTGGCTTGTGAGAACCCCAAGACACAACGGCCATGCTGAAAAGCTGCCCTAACAGCTGATTATTTCCGAAAAGCTGCTTAATTCCTTTCCCGGTGCTCCTCCAGAACCGTGCCGAAGGAATAGGCCTGGCCTGGGGGTTGCCCTAACAGCTGTTTATTTCCGAAGAGCTGTTTATTTCCGAAGAGCTGTTTATTTCCGAAGAGCTGTTTATTTCGCTTCCCCGTCCTCCTCCAGACCAATGCTGGCGAAGAAGACTTGCCCCAAGCTCGCCCTTAAAGCTAGCTGTTCATTTCCCTTCCCCTCCTCCAGAACCATGCTGGCGAAAGAGGGATGGCCCGAGGGGTTCATCAAGAAGGTTCCGCTCTACTTGTCGGTGTTCTCGACGGGACACAACCGGCTGCTCCGGCTCCCACTGGTCGCGGCGAAGAAGCTGTCGTTCGCGGTGGTGCGGAGGCTCGGGAAGGGGATGCCCACGGTGTCGGGGGCGGAGGCGTGGGCTTTCAAGAGCACCATGCTAGCGGTGCAGGTGCGGCAATCGCTCACCGCGTTGTATGGGGTTGATTGCCACACTTTTCTTCCTGGGGAGCGTAATATACCCTATTTTGGATGACACTTGTTTTTTGTCTTTTTCTCCCCGCGAGTAGTGCGCGTGTATGTTGAAACGTGCGGCGAAAAGTTCGAATCGCCTCGGCCTGGTCTGATGCGTGGTGGTTGGTACAAGCTGAGCTGTAAGAACGAATGGTGTTCTGCTTTTTTTTCGTCGTGTGGAAAAAACTGGTAGTATCTTGCGTGACCGACCCCTCGGTTTAGGGAACTTTTAAAGCCCTCTTGTCCCTTGTGGCGGCTCGGAGAAGGATCTCGATGTGCGCGAGCGCGAGACGCAGGCGCTTGCCCCGGTTTCCGTTGGAATAGGTGCGTCCCACGTTTTCAAAGGGAGGACAATGCAGTGATCTCCCTGCTTCTTTTTCCCTGGACCCACTCACGCTTAGTAACCAGTCCAAGGTTTGAGGCTTCGGTAGGATGATTCATCACGCAGGTCGTGTTATCTCTCTTTTTGGCTCGTCTGTGTACATCAAGCGGTCGGAGCTTCGGCAGAGAAGCGAGGTATCTTCGTGATGAAACCACCAAAAGAGCGAAGCGTTGTCAACGTCGACACATTGCCAGACCTATTCATGAAACGGTGCTCATGAATGACAAGATACGCGGTGTGGTTTTTTCGGTGGTCTGTACGATCTATTCACGACAGGAGCTCCTCCTGGCGGCGACGTCTCACGGCCTAGCCACGTGCCCGATGGAGGGTTTCGACATGAGAAGGTTGCGAAAGGCGCTACGCATCCCTTTGCGGTACTCTGTCCCGATCGTGGTCAGCATCGGTTACCCGTCGGACGATCGGCGAGAAATCAAGACCCTCAGGTAGGCGATCGGAGGACCGGCGTAAATATGTAGGTGTGTTGCGTGTTTCGTCGTACGTTCAGTTCCGCTTCCTTTCCCACATCGACGCTTCCACTGCCAGCAGCGGTCTTGCTTCTCTCAGGCTGTAGATAAACCCCATCAGACTTGGTGGATCCATTCGCCACTCTTCGTCATCGTTAACTGCCGTAGAATGGAAAATTCGCGAACACCCCAATTACCGACCGGTGGGTTGTCCTCACGCGCTGTTGCCGCTCGTCATGCTGAACCAGCTGCACACACGCCACACTGTCGAGACACTTTGTACACCGTACAGAAAGCGCCCGCGCTTGAAAGCCTCTAGCTCTGGACCACGCTGGGCCTCTTAGTTCCTAGAGCCAAAACTACGAACGGCCGCTATATAGGTTTTAGTATAGGGGTTCTTACCGGAGCTCACAAATGTTGCTAAACGTTTTAGAATTGAGTAGTTTGAGGCTCAACTTTACTGCCTAAGCTAGCGACTCATGGGCCTGCCGCCAGTATGGCTCCCGCGCGTGAGAGGGGACAAACGCAGGCCACCAAGGTTTAAGTTCGGGCGCTTTCTGTATTGCTCCAATGCTCCGCTCCAATCTTCTTCTGCGGGATCTGCTGCTTGCTGATTGGTCGAGGGAAGATTCCCTCCGGAGGAGGTATTGCACCGAGAGGAGTTCGGCACACCTCTGGAAGGCGTTCCTTCGCTCTGAAACGGCTGGCCCTCGAAGGATACGGACGGTAGTGGCACGGCATTCCGGACGGCAGATCCCCTTCACACCCCAAATAAGAGGGCACGTGTAGCGGGATTCCTGACGTCCTGCCCAAAACTGGCTGAAGGGGCCGCTCAGGCGGGGAGGGCGAGGGGGAGGGGATCGATTTCGCACGATGTTTTCCCGCCAACCCCCTTCGTAATCACATCACGTTTAGACTGCGTAGTTTAAATTTTGGTATACAATGGACTGCAAGGGTGGGAGCTCAACTCTGTCTGCAATTATTGTGTTGTGTTGTGTGTAGGATATTTTCTATGGCAGTACTCGAGCAGAAAAAAAACGTACCACTTCGTATCCTTTCATCCCAGCCTTTTTTGTCTTGGTGCCTAACGTGCTTTATTGTAACTCCTTCGATGCGAGAACTGCATCGAATTGTACCATGAGCGAACGTTCTCAACCTATTTTTACCTTCCTTCTATGCCAGAGTTCCTCGGCCTGTCTTGTCAATGTTGGCGTTGTTTGTACACAACTGTACGCACAGCAAACGACCGGCGCCGCTGTATGTAATTAACTGCAAGACCAGTAGCTTCAAGATGACAAGACAGCACGCCAGGAGCAGGCCAGTACATTTGTGTCCTCACGCCAGAAACAAGGCAGAACAGGCAGCATCGATCCTTAAAGTACATACAAAACTTAGGCACGGAGTTGCTCCTCTCTAAATACTGTACAGTAAGCACTCGTGGGGGGGGGGGGGGGGGCAGGACGTCAGGGATCCCGCTACACGTGCCCTCTTGCCCCAAACAGCAACAACGACCCACCCACCCAGCGCCCATTCGTGGTACACGCGACACACGTTTTAGTTTTTCAAGAGAGGCTTCACTAGCAGCAGTAACAGCAGCAGCGGCAGCAGCGGCAGCAACAGTGCTGCCATTCAACAGGGGTCTTCCAAGCGGAGAAGGTGGTCAAGACGGAAAAGTAGTAAGTACATGACGGCGGGCTCGAAAAAGTGGAAGTGGTCCGGGTTCGTCCTTGCCTAGGGTACCCGGTAGGATGACACCTACATACCTTGTACATTGAATGCAGTGCATGTGCGTGACCAGTGCCGTAGAGTGACCCTGCCCCCCCCCAGAGCACGGGGTTGCGCGAGTGATACACATGATATTGAATGTGCGAAAATTAGCCTCTTGATGCGGCATGGTCGGGCTCACTGCTGTAGCTTCTGAGATTGGTTTAGGGCATGTTATAACACCAAGAGGTCGCATCTGTCCGTGCATGTAGCAGGTGCATTTTCGATGTAGGGAATGCGACTGAAGCTTTTCATTCACATGCCGCAGTTCATGTGTATTGAAAGAAATCCAGTGGCGCAACGTCCTGGGCGAAACATCGGGGGCCTCTCTGTAGCCAAGCTCCTTCGCGAAGCAGACACAACCTGTCAGTACAAGGGAACCTGCCTACCGGAGAGATGGACAAAACAACGCGCGTTACAGTTAGTGCCATCAACAGCGGGAACGAGCCAATCCACCCCCGCACTTGCGTGGCGACATTTCCATCGCACGCAGCACGGTACTACAATAGTATACCCAAAAGACAACACCGCCTACACATGACAGAACCATCATCCGCAACAAGAAGGATCACATGAGCACTATTGTACACAAGAGAGAAGAACATGCTCACGGATGGCGGTGAATCGCCGCTGTCTCCCTGCTCCGGACACCCAGATGACCCCGCCCCCCGCCCACTTTACAATTACTCCCCGGCACGACGAAAGTCAGGAACGTTACTATACGGGGGAGCCGTCCGGAACACCGTCGGAACGCCACCGCTTACTACGGTACTGCCGCCGGTATCGCGAAGGACCGTTCGCTTCTGACGATGCGGGCAGGCGCTGAGCCACCTCCACCGCCGCCGGCATCGACAACCAGTACATAGCCTACTCGTATGCATATGGGTCCCTATCGATCTGGCCCACACCGGGCAGACCGCGATCATTAATAAATGAGACGGTATTTGTAGAGCAAAGCAGATTTTCCGTTGATTGCAGAGATGCTCGTGGGATCAGGTGCAGGCGAATCACACGTTTAATTTTCACGTGCGCTACAAGGCACCCATAGGTTCATTCTCGGCAGAGTAGCATACAAGGTGAGGTGCAACGGTGCAACAGTCGAGCAGCAGAGTAGCAGAGAGTCTACGGCAATGCCTTATTTCTCCCTGAAACATCAATATGCATGACTCCCCCGGTGTGTGTGGCCCTCTTTTTGTGGAACCCCCTCAGGGGGCTCCGCGGTGCAGATGCGGAACCCAGCATTATTGGCAGCCAGCTGAAGCAGCAGCAGCAGCAGCAGCAGTAGCAGCAGCAGTAGCAGCAGCAGCCAGCAGACGTGCCTGTACTGCTGTGCTTCACACTTGTGCGCAAGAAGAGATATCCTGCCTCCATACTGGTTTCAAGCGTGAGTGCATTGTACGCTGGAGTCTAGACTGGTTGCGGATTACGGGTGCTACCGCAGCGCTCTCGCCACACCTTTGTTTTGGTTTCCTTTCCTACCGCATGTCGCAAATCTATACACGGCCCGTCCGCTTGCGCCTGACCGATAGTGCTTATCGTTGTGGTAGAGAGGAACATGCAATAGCATTATCTCTATTCAACCATGAGCCGTGTATGCCTATCTACTCGTGGGCCTGTACGCTGTTGCCTGCCTAGAGAGGGTCCATGACTACTGTTCAGCAGTTGGTTGTACCGGCAAAGATTTAAGTTTTTGAATATTGCCATCCATCATCATGTGAGACACCACCACCGTAAGCCGCAAGGCGACAGCCCATACTTTGGTACATATGGCATGCTTGAGGAACACTCCAAGCACCCGCGCCCGGCCCAGCGATCGGCATCCTCAACCCCCAAAACATGCGCGTTTTGGCGTTGGTTTTATTTGTTGCCTCCGTTCTCGCGGCTGTTTGATGCACACAGCACGGCCGGACAAGCAGTCGATGCTGTCCCTTGCGTTGGCACGGCGGGTGCGATGCCGACAAAGCGGGCAGGCGACGCGCTTGACAAGAACAGCAGCAGCAGCAGCAGCAGCAGCAGCAGCAGCAAGGTCAACTCGCGGCATCGTTAGGCAGCGCGTAACGTACGTGACCGCGTCCGCCACCCCTGAGAAGCAGCAACACCGGCAAGCAAGCAGCCCAAGCCGGTCTTCTTTTTTGTCCTCCTCCGTGCTGAGACCAGCAGCGGCGACATCGTGGACGAGACACGGGGCTACCCCTCGATGGGCAATGACTTCTGCTCATTGCGGCGGCGGCGTCGACTTTAGCGGTGTCGGGGGTAGCGGTTGCGGCGGCAGCAGCAGCAGTGGGCGGAGAAATCGGCGGACATTCTTCGGCGTGGCGACTACCGCTGGAAACGATGGCGGCGGACCTAATGGAGAAGCAGCAGCAGCAGCTGCAGAAACAGAGGCAGCGGCAACGGCAGCAACAGGGGGAGCAGGGCCGGGAAGGGCGGAGGCGACTAGCGTTGTTGGGGAGGGGAGCGACGAAATCAGTACCCGCGGCGCCGGGGGCGAGGAGCACCCGGAGGAGAAACCGCCGAAAAAGCCGAGAAAGCGGCGTCAGGCAGCACAAACCAAGTACCCTTTCGGGAAACCCCTGAGCGTGTTGGCCTCGGCTTCGACCGGCTTCGGCGCTGGCAGTGACGCCTTCTTTGACATCGAGGACGAGCTGCCCGACCTTAGCGTGGTCGAAGTGGCCGGGCATGGAGACGAACGGGCAGCGATGGGCACCAAGGAACTGAGGGAGAGGATGGCGGCGGTAAGTGGAATTGGCTCGAACTCCGGACTATTTTCGAAAGCATAGTGCGTACATCCTTGGATGAGAAATCTCCGAGCGCCCTCTTCTGCCTGTCTGTCTGTCTCTCTCTCTCTCTCTCTCTCTCGGTCTCTCTGTCGATCTCTGTCTGTCGCCGTCTCTGTCTATCTGTCTATCTACTCATCTGCCTCTCTCGGTCTGTCTGTCCGTCTGTCTGTCTGTCTCAGACACACACGCTAACTATCCCCTGCCCCTCGCCTCCTGTAACACGGCCACCTCTCATTTTCCTGCCACCCTCATCATTCCTCTTTATCCCGGCGAACAGCCGAATCCTTGGAACCTTTTCCTGAATCTTTTTGAACTACGTCATAATAATGTTTTTGAAAAGAATGCATAAAAATTGTTAAAAATGTGTTTAGCCATTGCCGCCAATTTCGCCCATTTTAAACCTCGTAATCTCGACGGAAGAACTGGTCGGTTCTCTCGTCTCTACTTCTCCCACTCGTTTCCATCTTGCCCGCTCACATTCCATCTTCTCTCGCCCTCCCTTCCTTTTACCGTACAATCCTTCTCCATGGCCCGCACCTGTACCCCAGACCCGCCAGTATTGCTGGTACGTCCCAATGAACCGTCATGTACCAATGCTACAGTGTTTGCCAACCTTTGTGCCAGTTCATTCCTATCGCTCCCAGCGCCCCAATAAGCCAACTCATTATATACGGTGCTGCTCAATTTGTGATGTTTCATCCTGTGTCGCTCGCTCGCTCCCAGTGCCCCGAGGTCGTCGTCGCCCTGTCTAGGGGGCTAGCGGAGGGTCGGGCGCGCTTGGTGGCGGACAACCTGTGCGTGTACGCGAGCACCAAGCGGACCGCCGAGAGCACCTTGGCGCAGCTGGAGAGGTTGCTGGGCCGGCGGCCCGACCAGGTGGAATGGGCGATGCCCCTCATCAGGTGCGTGGAGCAGAGGGGGGGGGGGGATGTACTCACAGTCGTGCATGCCGTAGTCGTTTGACCATTGACCTCGCATCCCTACAAAGCCGGGGCGGAGCACGCCGGGTTCTCACCGGACCAGGCTCTCACATCACCAAGCGCGAAGCGCCTTGAGGTATTCGGCGAGTCGCATGAAGGGTGAGCTGCATCCTGCTAAGGGTGTTCGGCATCTTGTGCTTACTTCCTTGCGTACGGATGACAGCTACGTATGACTTAATTTATTTTCTGGTGCTTTCACTTCCAGAGACAGTTGTATGCACTGTGTAACTGCCTCGAGGATGCTTGACCAATTTAACACAACGTGGTGCGATCATCCCCCGTTGCGCGGAGTGAGGGTTCTCGACCCCGCACAACATGATCTACTCGACCACCATTCATGGTTACCGCAAAAAAAAAACCGGTAACCTGGTTGCCGAGTTCATGAAGTAAATTGGCTTGTTTTACAACGTCGTTGCCAAGCGACGAAAGCT